GATAAGAAAGTGAGACATTCTTATTGTTGATATGGAGAAATTTCTGGAGGTCTGGATAGAAGATCAACCCAGCTACAACATTTCCTTAAGCTAAAACCTATTCCAGAGAGATGCCCTAACTCTCTTCAATTCTGCGAAGGCTGAGAGAGGTCAGAACGCTGCAGAAGAAGAGTTTGAAGCTAGCAGAGATTGGTTCATGACCTCTAAGGAAAGAAGCTGTCTTCATAACATAAATGTGCAAAGTAAAGCAGCAAGTGCTGACGTAGAAGCTGCAGTAAGTTATCCAGAAGATCTAGAAGCTGCAGTAAGTTATCCACAAGATCTAGCTAAGATAATAAGTGAAGGTAGCTACACTAAACAATAGATTTTTAATGTAGATGAGACAGCCTTCTATTAGAAGAGGATGCCATCTAGGACTTTCATACCTACAGAGGAGAAGTCAATACCTGGCATCAGAGCTTCAAAGGACAGGCTAACTCTCTTGTTAGGGGCTAATGCAACTGGTACCTTTAAGTTGAAGCCAATGCTCATTTACCGTTTTACAAATCCTCAGGCCGTTAAGAATTATGCTAAAAATCTACTCTGCCTGTGCTCTATAAATGGAACAACAAAGCTTGGATGATAGCACGTCTGTTTAGAACATGGTATACTAGATTAAGTTCACTGTTGACCCACTGCTCAGAAAATAAAAAAGTTTCCTTTTAAAATAATACTGCTCACTGATAATACACCTGGTCACCCAAGAGCTCTGATGGGAATATGCAATGAGATTCGTGTTGTTTTCATGCCTGTTAATAAAACATCCATCCTGCAGCCCATGGATCAAGAAATAATTTTGCTATTCAAGTGTTGTTATTTAAGAAATGCATTTTCTTAGGCCATAGCTCCCATGGATAGTGATTCCTCTGATGGATTTTGGCAAAGTAAGTTGAAAACTTTCTGGAAAGGATTCCCCATTCTAGATGCCGTTAAGAACATTCACGATTCATGGGAAGGGGTCAAAATATCAATATGAACAGGAGTTTGGAAGAAGTTGATTCCAATGCTCAGGGATGACTTTGAGAGGTTTGGGACTTCAGTAGAGGAAGTAACTGAAGATGTGGTGGAAATAGCAGTAGAGCTAGAATCAGACGTGGAGCCTGAAGATGTGGCTGAATTGCTGCAATCCCATGATTAAAAAAATTATGGATAAAGAGTTATTTCTTACAGATGAGCAAAGAAAGTGACTTCTTGAGATGGATTCTACTCCTGGTGAAGATGCTGTGAAGATTGTTGAAATGACAACAAAGGATTTAGAATATTACATAAACTTAGTTGATTAAGCAGTGTCAGGATTTGACTCCGATTTTGAAAGTTCTACTGTGGATAAAATGCTGCCAAACATCATTGCACTCTACAGAGAAATCATTGGTGAAAGGAAGAGTCAATCGATGCAGCACACTTCAGTGTTGTCTTCTTTTAAGAAATTGCCACAGGCACCCCAGCTTTCAGCAGCCACCACCCTGATCAGTCAGCAGCCGTCAACAATGAGGCGAGAATCTCCACCAGCAAACAGATTACACCTTGCTGAAGGCTTAAATGATGGTTAGCATTTTTTAGCAATAAAGTATTTTTTAGTTAAGGTATTTATATTGTTTGTTTAGACATATTGCTCTTGCATACTTAATAGACTACAGTATAGTGTAAACATAACTTTTAAATGCACTGGGGAACCAAAAAATTCATGTGACTTGCTTTATCACGATGTTTGCTTTATTGCGGTGGTCTGAAACTGAACCCACAATATCTCTGAGATATGCCTGTAGTTGTTAGAAAGAAAAGGAAAAATATATTATACCAGAATTACCTATCCTTCTCAGGAGCATTTGCAACAAACTGACAGTAGCTCATAGTGCATATAATAAAAATGTTTGTGGTCATTTTATATGAAAATATCTTTATATACATTTTGACATATTCTTATCATATAATACATCTAATTAGAGGTCTATGAGAAGATATAGAGGAGTAAAAAGATGAGAAACACCTGTTTTTCCATCATTACAAGATAATCATCATTAACATTTTTTTTTTTTTTTTTTCTGTATGCGGGCCTCTCACTGCTGTGGCCTCTCCCATTGCGGAGCACAGGCTCCGGAAGCGCAGGTTCAGCGGCCATGGCTCACGGGCCCAGCCACTCCGTGGCATGTGGGGTCTTCCCTGACCGGGGCACGAACCCGCTTCCCCTGCACCAGCAGGCGGACTCTCAACCACTCCGCCACCAGGGAAGCCCATCATTAACATTTTTATGTACACCTTTCTATTCTTTTTAGGCACATAGATGCATATACAATATGGTATCATGTTGCCTAATCTACTTTTCTTTTCATGGGTATACTATTATTATTTTATCCACATTTAAATTTCACCATCAAACACTGAGCTCAAGTATATGCTGGCCATATGTTCAGATATTTGAAATAAAGATAAATGGACAGACAGCTTTAATGGTTTAATATGTTAAGCATTGCACAATATTCAACAATTAGAGAAAGACTAGGGGATGGTATAACCATATACCTTTATATATTTAGGGCCACAAGTATACGGACAAGCCCTACAATTTGAGGCAAATCCTGCTTAGGACTGAACAGAGAGGTCCTTGGTTGCCGACGGACTCTCCCCTTGACTTCAGACTTGAGACAAACCAAGGAGTCTGTCAATATACAAAACCCACTGAATTCAGGAGAAACAGGAGCAATAGGATAGGTATTAAGGAATTGGTTCTTGCCAAATAAGATTGTGGTGGCCAGTCTGAAGCGAGCAGAGTTGGCTGGAGGCTGGAAATGTTGCAGCTCTAGTCCAGAGCAGCAGTCTAGAGACAGAATGGTTAGTGCTTTCTTCCAAAATTCCCAGTTTTCCAAACAGGTTCCTAGGATGCTTTCCTCAAACAGTGCTAATCTACTTTTAAGTGCATGATCTTTTACTTCACCATTTTTGTAACTTCAGTTCCTTTATATCACTATCAGAAATTGCTCATTCAGACTACTGTTTCTAAAAACTTGTGTTTCCCCCTGTTTTTAACTAATATTAAGAGCTACAAGGAAAATTCTTGTACATACTTCTGCATTCATATTCTGAATTATTTCTTGAATTAATTATAGTTTAAATTACTGAGTCAAGGGCAATGTGCATTTTTAAGACTTTTGATGCATTTTATCATATCACAGTACATTTAATTGGCCTAGAATGCTTATGAGAATTTATGAATAAATAAGTGAACATATGAAAATAAAAATATTTATTACATTGCCACGAGTATATAAGAATTCTGTTACAAAGAATGAGTGTTACCAGTTTAATTAAAAACAAAATTCATAAGATATGCCTCTAGAAGCAATTCATCAATTTTACATGGCTGTTGGGGTAAATTTCACCTAGTATTAGAAATATTTCCATCTTTGAAAATCCTTGCTTAGCATTGTTTATTGCTGCTATGAAGAATACAGGGGAAGAGTTCAGGTGTGAAATTTGTCTTTTCAGGATGGTCATCTAGAAATGCCTGTTTTAGCCCATCTTTTTTTTAAATTTTTTTTTAATTATTATTATTATTATTTTTTGTGGTACGCAGGCCTCTTTCTGTTGTGGCCTCTCCCGTTGCGAGCACAGGCTCCGGACGCGCAGGCTCAGTGGCCATGGCTCACGGGCCCAGCCGCTCCGCGGCGTGTGGGATCTTCCCAGACCAGGGCACAAACCTGCGTCCCCTGCATCGGCAGGCGGACTCTCAACCACTGTGCCACCAGGGAAGCCCTTAGCCCATCTTGATGGCATTGAATTCATATTTTAAAGTGCCTGTTACAGAAGTCCTTAAGAATGTCTTTTCCTGCTATTTTAGGATTTCTGAGGTACAATATTATCTATTCATTTCTACAGTTGAGGATATAAGAAAGCCCTTCTTTCCTCTGTACTCATTCCGTTACATTCTAATCCTCTATTTTTAAACCTTTGTATCATACTCTTCTTTTTAGTTCAGTTCAGACAAGTGTATTTTTGATTTTTAATTGAAGTGGGTCTTCTTTAGCTTGGCTTTTACTAAATACGTTAATAATGGAAACATTAAAATTTTAGCAGAAGAGTTTTAAATATAGCAGTGAAGTTATATTTTCTTGTCTGTGTAGGACTTTACAGTTTGTGAAGAGCTTCAGAATAGAAAAAAGAACAGATGAATTACCTTGAATACAGTTAGCAGTTAGTGGCTGGGTGGTCTTTGGGAAGACATTCAATTTCCTTGAGTATGCTTAGCATAGAGTATGTGATGAATAAATAGAATCTATTTTTATTTTGTATCCTATTTTGCCTCCAGATGACCTATGGATTGTTTTAACCCTGTTTTACAATTGAGGAAACCAAGGCACAGTGCATTTTAGTGATTTGCATAGGGTCATTTAGCTAACAAACATAAACTGAGATCTATATTTTTGTCTCCAAAATAAGCATTTTTTCATTCTATACCACTTTTTTTTTCCTCTTAATGCAAGGACATAAGAAATAACTCTTTATCCTATATCATGAGAGTGATATTATTTACCACATCATGTGGAAATCTGATTCCACATATGCATGGCACAGAGTAGGCTCTCAGTTATATAAATAAATGAAAACCTGTATGGTAATATGGTTGGCTTCAGTCTTCTTTTGTAGGGAGAGAATTGTATATTAAGACCGCAGTGCTGATTGTGTCTGTTGAATGTGGTAATCAGGGTACCTACCTCTTAACGTTGTTGTTAGGATTAGATGATGTCATAGATGTCAAGCATTTAGAAAAATGCCTGGCACCTTAAACATTCAATAAATGTTAGTTCTTACTAGTATGTGAATGATTTTAGAGTGAGAAACCTTTAATATGTATAGGATTATAGTTCACTTCGTTATTATCTGCTATATATCATGTAGTTAGTTTTAATAGACTTTTTCTGGTTCATTTTGCTATTTATTTGTAATTTCTTTAATATATCTTTTAGGACTGAAAGAGTTGTCACCACCTCCTCTAAATCTCAAACGTTTATACAAAGAGACACTAGAAATTGAACCCATATTGATAATCATTTCCCCGGGTGCTGATCCTTCTCAGGAACTCCAAGAACTTGCTAATGCTGAGAGAAGTGGAGAGTGTTATCATCAGGTCAGTACATATTACCCTGCTGTTTTTGCTACAGCTATTGATCTTCCTGCCATACTTGATTCTATTAGTGGAACAGACATTTTTTGTTGCGGTGTGCCAACTAATGTCCCTGCAAAGTGTCTGCATCCTAATCCCCAGAAGGAACTTTGCAATTGTAATTAAGTTAAGCATTTTGCAATGGAGAGGTTATCCTGGATTATTCATTTGGGCCCAGTATAGTCATAAAGGTCCTTTGAAGAAGGAGGCAGAAGAGGCAGAGTGAAGGAGGGAGATGTGAGGAAGCAGAGGTCAAAGAGGTGAGAAGTTGCTGTGCTGCTGGCTTTGAAGATGGTAGAAGGGGGCACAGACAAAGAAATGTAGGTGGATTCTAGAAGTTCGAAAAGCAACGGAAGGATTCTCTCCTAAAGCCTCCAGAAAGAACAGCCCTGCAGTACTACCTTTATTTTCGAACCCTGACACCTAGATTTAAAAATAGATCAATAGAAGAGTGGGACTTCTAACCTCCAGAAGTCTGATAAGGTAATATATTTGTCTCACGTAATACCATTTTGTCCTGAGCTAAATTTCTGAGGTTTAGTTTGTTCAGATTAGCATCTCTTTTTCAATTCAGTTGGCATGTAAGTTTGAAAATGAATTAATTTACCTTCAATTTTTGACATGTGAAAAAAATAAATCTTAAATTTTCATTGGGAAAATATTTAATAATGATTAAAAAACCAGAATACTTTCACAGCAACCAAAAATTGACAAGTAAGAATGTTATGAGGACTATAAGTAGAAGATAACAAAATAGCAGAGAGTTAGGCTTAGTTGTACAGGTTTTGCACTAACTCTAGGGAGTTTCATTCAGTCCTAGTTATAGTGTATTAATATAGGATAATATTCAATTGTCAGTGAGATGTCTTGAGGAAGGGGAGCCCTCTTCTATAGGCTGTATCTGTTAGCAGTGATATTGGCAGAAAGATAAAACTATTTGCACTCACTGTAAGTTTGGCTATATGAATTTCTAGACTTTTGTGTACTTGCAAAATTTTTTAATATTGTAAAACCTTTAAATACAGACATATTTAGTCATAAATCTCCTGTTATTTTAAAGTTTTTGTTGCTATGCTGAATGTATGTCCTAAGGGTAATAATATATTCTTAATGCAAAATATTAATTTTCATTTCAAGAAACTGTGTTGTTTTTTTTTTTTTGATGTAGGGGCTAACCATCTTCTTGACATTTCCTGTTGTGCTTTTTAAAAATGTACTTTTTTTCTTAGAGTATATGTTTTCTTCTAAGGTTTCATGAACCTTTAAGCTGTTTTCATACAATTTATGCCTTATAAAAAATTTTGAGTTCCTACTTTCAGCTACCATTTCAGTTCAGCAAACTACTTATTTTTTTTCCCCTCTGATTCTGTTGTACATGCCTTCAACTGTTTCAAGGTTTTTTTTTGCATTTTAATAATGGCAAACTAATACATGCCTCTAAACAGTTCAACCAGTATTTGTTTTATCCCTCCTATTTGCTTAGTTCTGGGTTAGATCTTGAAAATTAAAAAGAAATCAATATATGAGTATTTATTACCTGTTTTGTTACATGCTTTTGTATGCAATGAATTAGACACGTGGTTCCCACTCTCAACAACTTTATAGTCTAATTGAAAAGCAAAATCAATACTTGTAAAAGTCAGTTAAAAAACAATGAAATGCTATCTTGTATTCATTATGAAAAGAGAGATTGCTGTGGTTTGAAGTAGTCTATAACAGTATTCTTCAAAGTGTTTTGACCATGTACCCAATAAAATATTTGAGCCAGGACTCTCAGTAAATGTGTTTCTCTCATATATACAAAGACAGATATAGCTGTACTGATACTTAAGTAGTATATATATCATCCTTAAAAAGACATATGGAGGAGTTTAAACTTGGTATAGTAAGTGGCATGCAACCAGTTTAGATCCTTGACTAAAACTTTTTTATAGAATCCTAGACTTAAGTAGTCTTAAGTAGACTTAACTAGTCTATTCATTCAAATAATACAGAAATCTTATATACTGAATCTATTTTCTAGGGTGTTTCAGCTCCTGCTTGGATGTTTTCTATTTTATAAAGTGGCCTATCCTATTACATGAGTGTCCTAAGTGCAGATAGACCATAGGGATTGGAAATACAGGAATGGAATTCCAGTGAGATCAGGATTCTCCTTCCCTCTTCCTCTCCCATCTCTTCTTTTTCTCCCCTCCCCCTTTCTTCTTTTCTCTCTCTCTCCTTCCTGCCTCCTCTCCCTGAAAAAGAATAGAAGAGCAGAGGGCTAAATGTAGAGTCTTCAGGCCCAACATGTTAGGATCTTCTAGACAATAAAGGGCTAGGGAATTATGCAGTTCAGTGGACCAAGTAGCTTGGGAGCCAAATTTGTGCAATGTTGGAGATATTTTTTAAAAAGAGAAGCAAATTTCAAGGAAGCGGTATTGTTAATGTTTAATCCCTCAAAGAATACAACAAGACAGTAGTCATAAAAAATTATGTTTTTAAAGGTCCATGTTTGAGAGGGTAAGAATTGCAGGAACTAGTGGGATGAGGAACAAAAAAACTATTCAGTAATTCTTTATACTGTTCTATAACTTTCAGACCTGTAATGTTAGTACCTTTACTAAATAGAATAATATTAAAAATCTGCCACTGATGTAAGGACAAAAACAAGACGATTGTTGGAAACAGCAAGAGTCTGATATTTCTTATTAAAAGTTTAAAACCCTGATTACAGTACTTGAGTTAGTTCAGTATGTATGGCAGGATAATTTGAAAGTCTTCTTTTGCAACATGTTATCAGATCTGTTTTTTTTTTTTAGTTTTGTTATTTGTTTTTGTTTTTGCAGGTTGCCATGGGTCAAGGCCAAGCTGATTTAGCCGTTCAAATGCTAAAAGAATGTGCTCGAAATGGAGACTGGCTCTGTTTGAAGAACTTACATCTTGTGGTATCTTGGCTGCCAGTTCTGGAAAAGGTAGATTCAGATCAGTGTGGTGCAAATAATATCTAATATACTCAATTCAGTAATCTCCAAGGAACATCAGTATTAAAATATGTCATGCACGATTTATGATGTCTTTAAAAAAAATTAGTATTTGTTGGGGAATCATTTAAAATCTGTTACGTATTTTCTCCTTAAATATATGTACATTTGTACAGACAACAATGGATCTTTTAATAAGAAATCTATAAAAATCTCTTTTTTAAAGGCATTTAGGGGAAGTCAAAAAATTAATCAGGACTGAAGGGGACGCTTAGAGAATTTTTTCAGATGAAAAATAGGGAAATGTTTTAAAGAATTGTAGAAGACCTATTTATAACATTAAATTTTCTTTATGCTTTTGTTCTGTTGTATCTGTATGAGGAGAAAAGATGTACAGGAGTCAGAGAGAAGTACTACAGAACACTTCCTAGGTGCTAAGGAGGCTGGGTGTAAATGGAAGCAATCATTTTATTTAACAGAAATGGGCCCAGGACGAAAAAACTTTAAGGCAAAACAAATTGATGTGTAGGTTTAAATGCAAACCTAGAATTAAGTCTAGTGCTTATTTAAGAAGAAAGATGAATATGGTTTTGGGCTGTCATAGATGACACTGAAGACAAGATGTTCCTTGAAGACTATATGTGATTTAGCTAAGTGTAGGGGGAAAAAAATTGTGGTTAATTCTAGCAGCACAAGTAGAGACATAGTGGTGGGAATGTGCCTGCCTAGTACAAAGAATGAAGATGTCCTTGAATGTCCTGGAAGGGTCAGGCAGAGCAATGTGGGGCAATAGAGTTAGATTGCTAGGAAGGGGCAAGGTTATGGAATACCCTCAAAATCATGCTGAAGTGCTTGGAATTTTTGTCCTAGGACACAGAGTCAAAGGAGGTCCTTAACAAGGGAGTTAATAATTACTTAATTAAATTAATCTGGTGGAAGTTATTCAGAATAGAACCAAACAGAATAGAGTAGGCTAGTTGTAGTGTGTTGAAAATTTGTGTAATGTGTTGAAAATAAATTGGCAACTATAGCACTTTACGTAAAACATGTAAGTAGTTAAATAATCTTTGATGAATGAGTTAATGACTAAGTGAATGAAGTGATAGACCATGATGACTTACTACTTATCAAAAGACAATGTAGGGCTTCCCTGGTGGCGCAGTGGTTGAGAGTCTGCCTGCTGATGCAGGGGACACGGGTTCGTGCCCTGGTCCGGGAAGATCCCACATGACGCGGAGCGGCTAGGCCCGTGAGCCATGGCTGCTGAGCCTGCGCGTCCGGAGCCTGTGCTCCACAACCGGAGAGGCCACAACAGTTAGAGGCCCGCGTACCATAAAAAAAAAAGATGTAGATTTTGGAACTGAGATATCTATGAATATTCAAGTAATTCCATTATTACTACAGTTTTCTGTAAAAATCACAAATGTATAAAATATAAAATTTATATCAGATGAATTACATATGTTTCGAAACATAAGGAAGACTTGTGAATACTTGAATCCTGCTTTCTGTTCCAAACAACAGATTGATAGCTATTAATCTATGTAAAATATAATTACAGTTATTATTTTGGAATCAAATCTTAATTAGGACTTTTTGAAGAATATATAGGGTAGATTATATTATAAAAGTTTTAAAAAAATTTTAAATGTTTTGCTTTTCTTTTGGGAAGTTTGGATGAATTGTTTCGATATAAATTTATGTTTATTTTAAATTCAACTGTATCACAAATGTATTCCTCTTTTAATCTTTTTTTAAAATATGCTAACCCAAAGCAAAATTTTATTCCAATTTTACATTTAAAAATTATTACTAGGTATAGAAACATTTTATAATTTACAATTTTAAGGAAGCACAATGTTTTCATGCAGTTCTCTTGCTATTTTTTGTCATCTTTACATTTCACATGATAATAATGAATTTTAGTATTAGACATATTTATTAAGATAATTTTTAGACTTCACTCTCTTTTAGAGCTGTCAACATTTCTTTTGTCGTTCATTCATTCATTTAGTCATTCATTTTACAAGTGCTTGCTGAGTACAGAGAAAAACCAGGAATAGTCCTAGGTGCTGGTTACGTACAAAATTTGTACTTGCTCTCGACTTGGTTTAGAAGAGACAGACCACATTAATAACTATACAGTCGTACAATGAATACTGCAGAAAGGAATTTACAAAATGCCATCAGTGATTAATCTGCTTGGGATTGTGGTAGTGAAGAGTCGGAGAAGATATTCTCCCAGAAAATGATATTTAAATTATATTTTGACAGATGAGTAAGAATTTGTCAGGTTACAAGAGAATAACAGGCAGAAAGAATATGATGAATAAAGAGACAAGAGATAAAAATTCGAATAAGTGACTAAAGCATACAACACAGGCAGGTGAATTTGAAAGGTGAAATTTGGATATTATAGGCTATAAGACACACTAAAAATTGTATTGTAAAGGAATTGATATTATAACTATGGAAGTGTGAATTGAAGAAGTGAGAACCTGAAGGCCTGAAGATGGCTCGTAGTTTAGGCATCACGACTATAGCTAACACTTATTTTGTATTTACTGTGTGTTGGGCACTGTGTTTTATACAATCCTATGAGGGTAGGTTATTATCCTTGCTTAGAGAGTTTAAGTCAAAGAATCCAAGGTCACACAGCAAATAAGTGGCAGAATTTGGATTTAAACCCAGTTGGCCCAGTTCTAGATCCAAGTTCTTACCTATTTCACTAAGCTAGTGATAGAGAAGATGAAAATTTAGAGGAAATATAATCAGAACATTAAGAAATATATCAGAATATCATGGAAATATTTTAGTAAGATAAATACTTATTAATAATATATTTATAAAATGGAAATTTGTGTGTATGTTTAAGTAGATTTTTATTCTTGTTGTTTTTATAAACAAGGAATTGAATACTCTTCAACCTAAAGATACCTTTCGTCTTTGGCTCACTGCAGAAGTTCATCCCAACTTTACTCCAATTTTATTACAGTCAAGTCTGAAGATAACATATGAGGTAAGAAGATATAAAACTTGAAACATGGGCTTCCCCGGTGGCACAGTGGTTAAGAATCCGCCAATGCAGGGGACGTGGGTTCAAGCCCTGGTCTGGGAAGATCCCACATGCCGCGGAGCAAGTCGGCCCGTGCACCACAACTACTGAGCCTGTGCTCTCGAGCCCGCGAGCCACAGCCAGAGTTCGCGTGCCACAACTACTGAAAGCCCACGTGCCTAGAGCCCATGCTCCGCAACAAGAGAAGCCACTGCAATGAGAAAACTGCACACCACGACAAAGAGTAGCCCCCACTCGTCGCAACTAGAGAAAGCCCACGCGCAGCAACAAAGACCCAACACAGCCATAAATAAATAAATAAATAAATAAATAAATAAATAAATAAAATTTATGAAAAAAATAAAAACTTGAATCACTAATTGTGTAAGTGCAGTAATTTAGCATGCCTTCTAAAGCTCTGTAGACAAAAAGCACTCAAAAACTTTTGTATATTTAGATGAAGTATATACATAAATAATATATTTGTAAAAATACATTTATATTTTTCTTTTAAATATTATTTAATATCATTAATTTTTGTTTTTTTATTGTAGTAAAAGACATAATGTAAAATTTACTATCTTAACCATTTATAAGTGTACAGTACAGTAGTGTTAACCATATGTACCTTGTCGTACAAGAGATCTCTAAAATTTTTTCATCTCACAAAACTGAGACTGTATCCACTGAAGAGCAGATCCCTATTTCTCTTTC